TTTTTTTTCTTTTCTTTCTTTCTTTTCTTTCTTTTCTTTTCTTTCTTTTTCCTGTATTTGTCAGCTTTTTGTCTGTCTCCTGGTTATATTTTTCTTTCTTTCTTTCTTTATTTGTTCATATTTCTTTCTTTTCTTTCTTTTCTTTTCTTTTCTTTTCTTTTCTTTTCCTGTATTTGTCAGCTTTTGTCTGTCTCCTGGTTTATCTTTCTTTCTTTCTTTCTTTCTTTATTTGTTCATATTTTTTCTTTCTTTCTTTTTCTTCTTTTGTTTGTTTCTTTTTTTCTTTCTTTCTTTACTGTATTTGGCAGCTTTTGTCTGTCTTCTGATTATCTTTCTTTCTTTATTTGTTCGTATTTTTTCTTTCTTTCTTTCTTTTTTCTTTTCTTTCTTTCTTTCTTTCTTTCTTTCTTTCTTTCTTTCTTCTCATTCTTAACTTTTACTCTTACTTTCCCTTTCTTTTTCGTTCTCGTACTTTTCTCGCTCCATTTTCCATGAGGCACTTCATCTCCTCCATTCTTATTCACTGTCTCTTGCTGTTGCCTCTTTTCTTCTTATTGATTGTTTTCTACTCGCTTTTTTATATTCCCTTTCTTACATTTTTATTCCACTGCCTTTATTTCCTTTTTCGAGTGTAACAGCAAAATTGTCCAGTTGTTAGATTAAGATTTCAACCGTTGTATCTTAGAAATGATTAAAGATATCTTACTGGAATACACCGGTGTTTCCTCTACTCTGAGCAACAACAATGTATAATTACTCTCTTAACAAAACAATGGTGATGAAGTCGATCTTAAACGAAAATGACATGTTCATCTTAATAAATCATAGGTAATTAGTGGAAGGTCATGAAGGATTATATATATATATATATATATATATATATATATATATATATATATATAATAGTGGTAATTATACACATACATATGCAATCATATATCTAAAATATATAAATATATATACATACATATATATTTGTATAAAAAATAATTCCAAGAGGATAGAATCCAGGTAGAACTCAATGTCCAGGACAGAGTAAGGATATAATAAAAAGGCTTAAACACTAATATTCCATGGTCATAATTTATTCCATTGGAATTGTAAATACAATTCAATTCATCAGACCTACACATTCAAAAAGAAAACAGAAAAAACAACTCCGTGAATAAAAAATAAAATTTAGTGAGAGTGTAAGTATGAGAGTGGGAGACGAATGTTAGAGTAAATGAAAGCTATAGGGAGGGGTAACAGACGAGAGAAGAACAGGAAGGTCTAAAGGTGAAAGGGGGATTAAAATTTAACAGAGAGAAGTTTTAAAGAGGGGAGTCGAAGACGGTTTAAGTGAGAGAAATATGTATATTCTCGGATGTCTAATACATTAAAGATACAACGGGAAAGAGTATACATTTTGCGGTGACATACACACACAATTGACGATATAAACTTAAAGATCAGAAGATGAGAGAGGGAGAGGAAATGAAAAGAAAAAGGGGTTGGGGTGAGAGATGGGGTGGGGGACACTAAAACCGAAGTGCATTTATAAAAGGGCCGCTGTGTAATCAAGAAAATTTGACTATTTTTTTTTTATTCCCGGCGTTGTTTTTTCTGTTTTCTTTTTGAATTTGTAGGTCTGATGAATTGGATCGTATTTATTTATTTTATTAATAAATTATGACCATGGAATATTAGTGTTTAAGCCTTTTTTATCATATATTTATATATATATATATATATATATATATATATATATATATATTATAAATAAATTGATTTAAAATATGGTTTTTCCGCTACACATTTCTAACCATATCTTACTGTTCTATATATATATATATATATACATACATACATACATATATATATATATATATATATATATATATATATATATATATATATATATATATATATATTATTCAGGATCATTTTCCAACTCCTTATGCATTGAGTTGGATCTTTTTCTAATTGATCGCTTTAGCTCTAAGTTGAAATGATGATCACTCTTCCTGTTTTGACTTCTTGATTAAGTTTTCCGCTCTCCTGTTCCTTCTTTGTTAAACTTATGTACCGTTTACTTGATGGTTTTGAGTGGACTTTCAAGATGGAAGCCAGAGTATGAATGTTGGTAGCATTACTGAAGATCTGAATGAGCGTTCTTCTCTCCTTATTGATTGGTTGAAAAGACAGTAAGTCTGACACAAAAGAATTTTATCCTGCTCTCGTTTTAGCTGAATAACTCAAAGGGTTTTTCAGTGATTCTTATGAAAAATATTGTCAAGATGGTTAAACGTCTTATCGGAAAACCTGGAAAAAAAACGAAACTCAATTAGTTTAGTAGTTTTTAAGATATTAAACAGTTTGTCGGATGGATAATTATACTGTTACACGATTTGGATAATTTTGCTGTTACACCCTGCATACATACATACATATGGAGAAAAATGCATAGCAAAGTGGAAATAAGTACTCTTGTGAGGCGTTTCGTTCTTTAGAATTTAATCGGACTAAATTTGGTGCGTCTATATATGCGCACGATCGAAGAATGATGGGAATTTTTATGTTTAACTTAAAAAAAAAAATCTAGCAGATTTCATTTAAAGTATTTTTGTATATATATATATATATATATATATATATATATATAGAAATATATATACAGAATTAATATAACTATAAAATTTGTCACTTAGCGGATTGATGCTTTATTCCGTCTTACGATTTTAGAGTTTCGCAGACGAAAACTTTTTGTAATCGCTCGGTCGACTTGTCAGGAGGCATCAGCAACTGATTGCGGATTTTCTCATTTTCGTTATTTTATATGACCTTCAAACTGTTGTTAACTGGGGCAAGAAATGTCTAGTCAATTTTAACGCTTGCAAAAGGAAACTACTTTCTTTCACAAGTTTTTTTTTTATAAACATTTGTGCATTTCACCAGCATGGCTGATGATAACCTTTGAGAGATATTCTGGGGGTTACCGTTAGCCGTTGATGTGAAGATGAACGATAAGATTGAATCAATTGCTAGGATAATTGATTCACTGTGTGGTTCTTGACATTCTTTTTTCTTGCAAGTAATTAATAAAAACTTAATAAGGCTGCCATTTGTCCATACATTGGGACCGTTGTCACTTCTACTCTGGTGCTTCTGCTATGTATACAGAGATTCTTGATAAAATCCAAAAAAGAATCTGCAATATTATCAGGTTTGATCTGGTATCTCGGCTTCAGTCACTTTCCCACTGCCGTAACATAGCTTTCCTTTGCCTTTTCAATAAAATATGTGGAAATGGGTAGATTCAACCATAATTTTACGCTGTCAGTTTCTTCCCTGACAATTCTCTCTTGTGGAACTTTCTACTTTGAAATGATGAGACCTAACTGACAATGTAGTAATGTGCTTAAATTCTTAAAATCGAGGTACCAAAGAGGAAACAATTACCATGAAAGTATTTATAGAAAAATATTGCCTGTAGAACAATCACGTGGTCAAGATAAACACTCAGTTGTGGAGCAAGATGAGTGAATAATAACTCAACCTTGAAAAAGAGAGCTATAGCATCTCATTGTGCTAAAGTGGGATAGTCCATTGCTTGGGCTGTGATTGGCTGATGGTACCTGAGTGGAGGTATTTCTGTATAAATACCAGCTTGATTCATCAGTTAGTTTGCAGGGTTTGTATTGAGTTACAACCTGCTTTATTTTTGTCTGCTAGCTGGACGCTAGCTAGGACCCTTACGTTGGTAAGTGCTGTTTATTGTATTGTTATTCTACATTGCCAATAATCTCCTAGATACATAGCAAAAGAACCACACCAGATGTAACAGCAATATTCACTGCATGGGGGAATCAGTCAGTTATGTGCTATGCGTGATACACGCTTAGGCGATCATATATCTTTGGATACATGACTGACGAGGCAGATTTTTTCCCGCAGTAGGTTGCCATTTCTTTCTGCCATCCGAGGCTATAGAACCTGGTCTGTCCTGCTATTTACCCATAGCTGGTGGGAGAAGAAGAGGATTCATACCTTTCCCAAGGGTATTAACACGTATGTTAATGTAATGGATTCGACTGGAGTTCGAACTCGGCTCTCCGATTCCTCAATATGCTATTGTAGATTTATAAAGGTACAAGATAGATTCTGATGAGAAAGAATATCCAGAACAATGCACCAACTTTCCTAGAAGCAAACCTAGCAATAGGTTCAATATAATCTTTCCGCTTTCCGTCGGTGGAAAACGTTTGCCTGAGAAGTAGGAACGAGTCACTCACCTGGAGGTTAGCATCAGCCTTGTTGATAGAAGGCAAAATAGGTTCTCCAAGACGATTAAAAGAGTTCAAATTCGTCTTGGAGGCGTTAAAAGTAACAAGCAAATTCTTGCCTCAGTTAACAACTGACTGAAGGTCATTTTTGAGATCAGCTACCAATTTGACCTTATCGAACCTATCATTAATATTGTAATAAAAAAATTGTGTCATCAGCATAGACACCGAGTTGAAAACCGATGACATCGAAAAAATCGTTAGTGAAAATTAGGAAAAAATAGCTTCAAGGATAGAGCCCTAGGGATCACTGGCATTAATGTAAAAGGATCTAGAAGAGTGGCCGTTTAAGATAACTTTCATTTCGCGTTTTGATAAATATTGGATCAAATCAAAAATTCGCCCAGTAATAACCATAACCTTTCAATTTCAGAAAAAGGACAGCATGCCAAACCCTGTCAAATCCCTTCGAGATAGCCAAAGCAACAGTCCGAGTTTCACCAAAGCTGGTCGTATTTTGTGCACATTTTCGCACGTGTATGAGAATATGATAAATCAAGTTCTCGTCAACTATAAATGGTCTTTGGCCTATCTCATGATGGCCAGTCATCATAGTTTATTTAACCGTGAAGGAGACTGCGTAAGCGTTGAAAAGCAAACATATGTCCATCTCTTGTCTACCGAAAACGAAATATACTATAGAGACTTGGCTCATCAGGAAAAAAACTGGGTTAGATAATTTAATGTGACTAGTCGTCTGTCAAAAATCGCCTATGGGAAAAAAAAAAAAAAACGTTATAGTTAAGGAGCCACTGACGTGGAGTCCTTGAGGTCTGCAGATCTATATACAGTTAAATAGAAATGAAAGTTCGATATTTACAATGAATTCTTATTTTTTCCTTTCTATTTATCATTTTATCGTATTAACACGTTCCCCCGGAAAAGAAAAAAAAAGTTTCAAGGCCTAAGCCATGATAAAATGACGTAATATTAGTTTGCATAGAGGAGAACTCAGATACGCAACGACGCTTCTATTTCTTATGTATTCTTATCCCGTAATCTGTCAGGTACAGTGGGTTTATTTTCTCCACATTCTTTTTCATTTATCGCACTCTTTTAGGCTTATCACGTTGAAACACCAGTTCTCGTATGATTACCAAAGTTAAGCAACGTCGAGCCTGGTCAGTACCTAGATGGGTGATCGCTTGTAAATAACAGGTGCTGTCACTTTGGATGTTCATGTGGTGTAATGGTTAAGAGCTCTGAATTGGAACTCGGAGAGCCGAGTTCCAGTTAGTGACGGATACGTTATATTCATTTATGCTTAAGAATAATTGCTTGGGAAAGGTAGGAATCAATTTCTTCTACCCCCCACTCCCCACTGGCTATAGGTTAGCTAGTAGAATATCAGCAAAAATCACAGTTATCTCCACAAGGAAAAAATTCTGACAATCTAACAATCTTTTCCGACGTAACCTGCAAAAGGTTGATAAACCGTAAAAAACAAATCAATCACTTAATAAAAAAATACAAAAAAGAAACTCATTATATTTCTTCTGTTTCTTCGACTTTATTCTTTTAAGTAGTGAGGAATTATCTTAGTCATTTTTCTGGGCATATTTAGTTTAAACATGAGTCCATGGGCTGGAAATTTTTTATTGCTTATCAGAAAAAAGAGAGTGAAAGAGTAATCACTATTTAAAAAAAAATAAAGCTACAGTATGACCCATAGAGATATCCATATGTCAAATATTTAGACATTTAATTAGATGACAAAAGTGGTAATGTATTTTTTTAAGAGGCTGCAGTTGTTCAGCTCCAAATAAAGTACAACCTTTCATGAAGATTTGGCGCTACAATATCTTTGATACTGTCCAGCTCGTAGCATTGTTGATATTGTTGTTATTGTTGCTGGTCTTCTTCTACTTTTTGATCTTGTTATTTCCTCTGTTTCATTCACTTCCCCAACAAATTTTTAGCTATATATCCAGCTTTATATACAAGAATATACATTTTTTTTCTCCTTCTCTCTTCTTCCTCAGTAACCAGATCGACATTTCGCGTCCATGCGGGGCTGCCTCTGTCAGATAAACTTCTTATCTTTACTGTCAGAAAACTAGAAAATAAAATAAATAACAAAAAAAAACAAACAAAAAAAACCAAAAAACACACACAAATGATCATAAGGCCGTCACCATTACCACGGTCGCTTGGTACTTATTCAACGTCAAAGACTTTTTCCCCAAAAGACTCTTTCTTGTCATAAGATTAAAAACTGATATGACTCTAGATCCGAACCTCGCACCCCAGAGCCTCACACGGCACATTCTGCTCTCTTAATATAGAGAAAAAAAAAAGACGAAGAAAAAAGACTGGCATCGATCGTAGAGACAATCATAAGGATCTGCTCTCGACTTTTATTGTTATCCTTACATTTTAATGTGCGTTTTGTTATCTCTTTCATAGCTTCGATATTTTGATGCAAAAAACAAAATAAAAAAAAACAAGCAAGAAACAAATAAATATACAGAGATATTCCTCTTTCACATCTCGCTTATTTTCATTTTGTTCAAAGATTTTTTCTCCTTATCTCACTCCTTCTCCAATTTTATATCCAAGTGTTTGTTCTTTTGCCTGGCGTTTCTTATGAAAAGACCTGTTATTGTTTACGCTATATCAAGAAACACCTTTTTTCATTTGAAGTCGTTCTTTCTTTCTTTCTTTCTTTCTTTTTTTCTTTCTTTCTTTTTTTCTTTCTTTCTTTAATCTATACATATTTCTTAGTTTCTTTCTTTTGTGATATTTTAATTTATTTTTTTTAAATTTTTTTGATCTTGCATTTTTCTTTCTTTAGTATATTTCTCAATGTTCGCTTTCTTTTTTTCCATGTTCATCTCTCTCATTTCTTTCATTCTTTCTTTCTTCATTTATTTATTTCTTACCATTTTTATCTCTTGTCATTCTTTCTTTTATTATATATATATATACATACATACATATATATATATATATATATATATATATATATATATATATCTTGGAATTTTTTCTTTTTTTCTTTCTTTCTTTTTTCTTAAGATATTTCTTTCTTTCTTATATTTTATCAGAATTTTTCTTTCATTTTTAAACAGATTTCTTTCTTTCTGTATTCCTTTCTTTCTATATTCATTTCTTATGATATCTATCTCTTTTTTGTTTCTTACCATATTAATCTTCTTTCTTTCTTTCTTTCTTATATTCACATGTTTCTTTCCTTCTTTCCTTCTTTAATACTTTCATTTTGATACCACATTCATCTTTCTTTCTTTTTAAATTCCACTTTCCCGTTTTCACCTCTCGCTTTCTTTCCTTCCTTCTTTCTTTCTTTTCTTTCTTTCTTTCTTGTACGCAATTTTCGGCAATTATTAACCACCCGAGATACTTTCTTTTTACACCTTCTCTGAATATTAAGTTTAACCAAAACGTGTTTCACATTACTTTTGGACGTTGCTCACCTTGTTCTTAAAGTCTGGGCCTAAAAAGAAAGCACAGATCCCCCCACGTCGCCCCGAAAAATGAGAGCAAAAATCTAAATAGATTTTTATGAGAAAAGGGACAAATAAAAAGTCTAGATATTATTCAAGTATAATGTGAATAAAGGTTTTGCTTCAATACGAAAAATAAACTAAATTGGAAGGGAATTTGGAATGAAAGTGAAATAGGACGCAAGAAACATATCACTTTCACACACACACACACACACAAACACACGCAATGTTTTTATATATATATATATATATATATATATATATATATATATATATATATATTATACACATATACACGCAAGCACGTTTTCTTTCATAATTTCACGAGAACAAAGAATTCTAACAATCGGCCCCGACGATGACTGAAGTCATTGAAAATGTCTACAAAAACCCCCAAAAAACTTCTTATATTTACTTATTAATGTTTCAGACAAAATTGAGACACTGAGGAGACGATACATCAACATTTACCAAGAAACTGTGAATCGTGTTTTTAATTATACGTATGGAATATAGAGGCAAGGTGAATAGCGGCTCGGATTGAGGAATCGGAGAGGCGAGGTCGAATTATAGTCGAGTTCAGCACATTCACTTGATAATATCCTTGGGAAAGATAGGAGTTCATCGCTTCTTCCATCGGCAGTGAGCAAATAGTTGAACCGAGAGGGTTTGGCTTCATCAAGCTATCTTGCCCAAGATTTGCACTGCTACTGCCTGTGGTACCCCTATGAACGTAATGGGTTAAGGGACTCGTGTTCGTGAAATGTTCTGAAAGGTTATCAGCATGAATATGAAGCTCTATTAAAAAGATTTCTTGACAGATTGCGTCCAGCATGAAACAGCCTGTCGCCTCTGAGTGTTTTCTTCAATGTTCACTTTTATATTTATATTTACATTGGCTCTATCTCTCTATATATATATATATATATATATATATATATATATATATATATATATAAAATTCTGATTTCTGTAGTTCCCTACTACCATCAAGCATATTTTTTTCTCCTGATGATGGCCACGTTGATCGAAACTAGTCGAAGAATCTAAAGGAAATAATATAAACGAAAGATTATTAATATACAACCCAGTGTGTCTGAAAATGTTAACTTTTTAAATATTATTTTGTTCAATACACACACACACACACACACACACACATTTCCCTTACTCATAGAACGAACCACGATTACTATCCCCAAGCCGCTCTATCCAGAACATTAGAAGTCGGTTCAAGAAAGGATATATAAGCGATAGAAATTCTTAGGAGGATTTGAGATAATCATAATTAAGTAATTAATCACTTAATTACTTAATTATGATTATTTGTTTTGATTTCTTCTAGACTCGATGAATTACTTAATTATGACTATTTCAAATCCTTCTAATAATTTCTATCACACACACACACACACACACATACAGAGAGAGAGAGAGAGAGAGAGAGAGAGAGAGAGAGAGAGAGAGAATTAATACTTTAATTAACAACCTTATTAATAATTTAGTAAAAGGTTTGTTACTTATCTCCCTGATGTTATCTTCAACGTCCTTCTTCCAGAGTTTCGTAGACGGACCTTCCAGCAATTACTCCGTCCGTTAATCAGGGGGTATCAGCAATTATCTCTCTCTCTCTCTCTCTCTCTCTCTCTCTATATATATATATATATATATATATGAGGTCATATATATATAGAGAGAGATATGACGTCACACATACACACACACACACACATATATATATATATATATATATGTATATATATGTATATATATAATTGCTGTCTACACGTCAGACGAGCATGACTATCGCTAAGTAAAAAAGCATTGGACTTAATTGTTGTGTCAACCATGGGATCGACAGTGACTCTTGTGGCTAGTAAAGGACTTAAATTCTTTGCCGCATACAAGACGTACTAGCTTTGATTCCTTTGACACCCCAAATGTATAAGTGGGCAAATTTCGTGTGCCCTCAAATACCTTGTAAGACCTGAACGGCATTTTTACACTCTACTACCACACACACACACACACACACACACACACACACACACACACACACACACACATATATATATATATATATATATATATATGTGTGTATGTATTTGTCGTATTCTTTTGGTGGGGCATCAACATGGATTTGCAGATGGCTACGAAGGCCTGCATTTGACAGGCAAGCTCTCTCCTGACACACAAATAGGGACACTTGGGTCTGTCTGCTCTCATACATACGGAATATGTGTAAAAATTCAGATGTAACTAAAAATATATCTGTAAAAATAAAAAAGAGAAGAAATTTTTCTTCTTGCCGACGCCATTTTCTCTAGTAGATTTTTATCAAGGCAATTGTAAGGCAATTTATTTTGCAACACATATTTATAAGCAGTAGTAAAAAGGCTATTATTTTTTTCAGAAGTTTTATATTTATGAATGCTCATAAATATATATCAGGATAACTGAGAGTCAAGGTAAATTATATATTATTTGATTTTAGTTTGTGATATTAATTAATATACTGTATATTTTTTGATAATAGAAGGATATGCATTTAACCGTTCTCTATAAATTATTTTTTATTGCCATGTATTTTGGTTTGGGAAAAGAGTACATCATTTAGGATATAAGTTATTTGATATTTGTTACTGCCTCTTTTAGTAAGTGTTGTGACCTCGGGAAGGTTATTGAATAGAATAATCACACGAGGGTTGGTAATGAACTATAATACTCAATTAATCAATTGCTAGAAGCAAAATGAATTACCAACTGCAAGATAACTACCAACAGCCCCACGTGTGGCACAAGGCCGAAATTATTGTGGGGTATCTGAGCTCGTAGCCTCGGATAAAAATTCCTCGCATACCCGTATGAAACGGAGTCGGGTAGCTGTTTCCCGAGACAAGACTCTGCCCTTGGACATAGCCTCGTCTGGAGATCCTCTCTGCCCAGAGGCAGAGAGTTTGACCAGTAGATCTGGAGACGAATCTCCAACTGCAGACCAACATACAGTATTTACTACTGTATTTATGTGAATGGGGACATTATCGTCTGTAGGTATGCTACAACAGTAAACGTTGCATTCTTTATTGTGAACTTAATTTTATCTATGACTAATGCATTTAATAGATTGTTATGTTATTCTTTTTGTGTTTATAGATACTTTTTTTTTTAAATTTCTGCAAATTTTCTCAAAATATTGGATGGTGCAGTTATATCAATCTATTTCATATATACCTGGTTCAGAATAATTAGTATATTACTTATGATTCTGATCATATTTATAATTGTTTTGTCATGCAAAAGCTAATGTATGTTTGTGTTTCTCCAAATTTATATTCAACCACTATTTGGTGAGGGCGGTGGATTGGCCGTTGACCCCCCCCACCATGTCGATGCTTGGACTTAAGGTAAGCCGTATATTCACTTGTTATAATGAGGAAGAAAGCGGACTAACACTCGCTGCCACGTATGTTGGGGCATTTATTATAACATGGCATTAAATCCGGATAACCTTATTTTCTTCAATTTCTTTTTAGAATAGACAATGGGACTTATACTAAGTTAAAACTTAATGTTGCGAAAGGGTAAATGATAGTCAGCCAGGTCTCTTTGCAAATTACCTCCCCCTCTCATCGTTATCTCTGTTTTTGTTGTTGTTGTATGTGTTATATGTAATAGGAGTAGGTAGGCTTTCCTACCACCCGGTCAACACTCCTCCCCCTTCTCTTGGACATGAGTAAAGGCTTACGCCTTGTTTCATGTTTAGGAAGGGGTTTCCGGTACTCTCTCTTTCTCTCACTGGCCTCTGTATCTCCAGTTGCCTTGATCTATCCACTACTCTTCTCCTCAGCCTTTCTTCTATCACTCCTATCTGATCTTGCTCCAAATTTTCTGTAACCCCTTTCATGGCTAGTGGCTTTCCGCCTTGCTTGGGGTGAAACGCTTAAAAAATAAAACTGTCACGTATGATCAATAGTTAGAACGTTCAACCTTCTGCCCTGTATTCTTAGTTGCCAAATACAAGGAAACTTTTAATGATTGGCGGGAGATTGTTATTTTTCAGTCTACAACAAATAAAAAATTTTAATAATAGGTGGGTGTCAGAAAATCATTTAATATAAAATTAGCTTAAAACAAAACAAAAAAATTATCACTTTCTGCTAGGTAACTAAGAGTACCTTTCCGCTAGGTATCTAATAGTACCTTTCTGCTAGGTAGCTAAAAGAACCTTTCCGTTAGGTA